ATTTTTGAATGTTGCTTGCAACTGTCCTGTTATAATTTTATGATCAAGCCCCAGAAATCTGTGGATAACTTAATTTCTATTACAAATTAGGTAACATTTTTTTGCAGTGGCAAATATATTTGGTTGTAAATTTAATTGATTACACCACTACAGTTAAATATTTTAACTTCTAAAAGGTTTTGGGAATATGTTTTTTTTTTCTTGTTCATACACTTACATGGTACTTTTAAAATAAAAGTGCCTAATGCACTTCATTTAAAGTCATTATTGATTTTTGTGCATAACATTGTGATTGATAACGAATAATCGCAGACAACCATGCGATTAATCATGATAAATAAATAAAAAATGCATTGCCCAGCGCTAGTTTTTATTTGTTGTTATTAGAAATCATGGTTATTCCACCATGGTTATTCCATGGTTATTCCTCTTAATATTTCACTAAATATTTCTTGAAGATCTGAAATGTTGTTTCCATACAAAAATGTTTCCATACAAAAATGCTAATTAGTTTTATGCACTAAACTGGTTTATTGCATAAAATATGTGCGAATAAAGCAGCTTTTCCCTCCAACGAGTCAAAGTGAAAAAAATTGTCACTTCTTGATTATCTGGTGCTAAATATTAACAGTAAAAACAGAATTTGCTGCGATCAGAGTTGCTGCGTGAATCTTTTTTCTTTTAACAAATGACTTGCGCCTCAGAAGACAATCCTGACATGCAGTTAACGCACATAGACATTTGAAGGTGTGAGATGCGGAGTACAGATGCTCTTGATTCTGGAGGTGATTAATAATATAATACTAATACTGAGATGGTAAAGGTGTTTTAGAATTACCAAAACTACATTTCAGATGTGTTAAAGGGTGCTCAGCCTACTGGTTTGTCCATTCACACACATTTTTATTATCACATGATCTCTTATCTTATATAGCAAAATCACATGACTGGAATTTGTTCGGTGAAAATGCTTTCATCGTAGTTTATGCACATATTTTCTTATCGAATAAAGCGTTTATCCTGCTCAGTTATGCACATATTTTTGAATGTTGCGCACTTTCAAAATTTATACACATCTTGACATTTCCATCAACCATGTTTTTATGCGCATATCTAAAATGCACATAAGATAGGTGGATGGAAACATAGCTATTGAAATAAACATGTTTGAAAATATGGCACATACAAAAAAATATATATATTGTTTTTGTTTTAAATTTGTGAATGTCATCAGTAGTTCACAGTAAAACAAAATTAGTTTTTTTCAAACACAACAATTTTTATTTATAGAATTTTTTCTGGCATTTATATGCATTTACACATAAAACGTTTTATTTTAGTTCTCTTACAACATTTTTCTATAGCTGCACAATAGAAGTTGTTTCTACATGAAATATAACATTATGCATTATAGCAACAAGTGGAACAGCACATCTGTTGAGGTTTTTAAAGGAACACTTCATTTATTTGTAATGTAATGTAATGTGTATTTATATAGCGCATTTATTGTGTATAGCCATACATCCAAAGCGCTTCACAATCATGAGGGGGGTCTCTCCAAACCACCACCAGTGTGCAGCATCCACTTGAATGATGCGACGGCTGCCACAGGACAACGGCGCCAGTGCGCTCACAGTGTAGTGCGCTCACAGTGTAGTGCGCTCACAGTGTAGTGTCCCCTTCACTTTTACTGGGGCATTAGGACTCACGCAGACCACAGGTTGAGCGCCCCCTGCTGGCCTCACTAACACCACTTCCAACAGCAACCTAGTGTTCCCTAGTGGTCTCCCATCCAGGTACTGACCAGGCTCAGCCCTGCTTAGCTACAGTGAGTAACCTGTCTTGGGCTGCAGGGTGATATGGCTGTGGCTTGGTGATATGGCTTTGGAAATAGGTCTCCCCCTAGAGTTAAACAGTTGAGCTTTACCTATTTTATTTTTTTATTTATATATTTTTATTTATTTATTTATTTATTTTTATTTGAATCCATTCAGTCCACCTCCGAATTTTGCAGGAGCACTTTTAGCTTAGCTTAGCATAAATCATTGAATCGGATTAGACCATTAGCATCTCTCTCTATATACTATGGAAGTCAGAGGGCTTGTTTTTCCCCAAACAATCTTCAGTATACCTTTTTTGGTGTTCAGGAAAAAAAGGAAAGTTTTGGAACCAGTGGAGCTTGTGTAAATTATGACAGAATTTTCATTTTCGGTTAGACTATCCCTTTAAATATTTTTCATACGTTAAAGCAACTTTTCCACCACTCAGACATGAAGACCGTGCTGATAAAGAGTGTTGGCCCTCGTTCTGGCTACATTCATCACATATGTCTTGCGTAATTGATTACGCCTCTGTTTTAGATTACTCTGAGCAAGCATGAAGCAGCCTTGCTTCACTCATGACGGTCTGTGCCGCTGTCCAGAATGATGTCGGCAAGATGTGTTTAAAGCTGCAGTTGAGCAGCAATAGAATAACTCAAGAGGTGACGCGGGGACTACTCATGCAAAACGGGTGTCAGTGAAGGGTCAGCGCAATAAAACCCATGCTGGGTGGCCATGCATATGTTTAAGGAGGGTGACGGGTTAAGGTCTCATAAATCCAGAGGTTTCATTTTTTTCTGATATGGGTTTGTGTGTGTATGTTTGAGAGTCTGGGGAAATGAGAAATGACATGAGAAATTAAATGAGAAAAGCAGTAGTCTTGAAACTAGATTTAGCTGGTGTGGTTGCTAGGGTGTTCTGGGGGGTTGCTTACTGTCTCAAAAAGCTTGTTTATTATATATACAGTTGAAGTCAAAATTATTAGCACTTCTGTGAATTATTATTATTATTATTTTAAATATATCTCAAATAATTTTTAACAAAGCAAGGATTTTTTCATAGCATTTCCTAAAATATTTTTTTCTTCTGGAGAAAGTCCAAATTTTTTATATTTATTTTAGCTAGAATAAAAGCAGTTTTTAATTTTTTAAAAATATTTTTATGATCAATATTAATAGCCCTATTAAACAATATTTTATTTAAACATTTAAACATTATAAACATTATAAAACATTTAAAAATTGTCTACAGAACAAACTATCATAACCTACCTAAATACCCTTTAAATGTCACTTTAAGCTGAATTCTAGTATCTTGAAAAATATCTAGTAAAATGTCATATACTGTCATCATGACCCAGATAAAAGAAGACATTACAAATTAGTTATTAAGAAATGTGTTAAAAAACTTTCCGTTAAACAGAAATTGGGGAAACAAAGGACAGGGGGGCTAACAATTCAGGAGGGCTAATAATTCTGACTTAAATTTTTTATATACATTTTCATATTTTCTCACCTCAGTTCTCCATTTTTCTTATGTCTGTGGGGTTTGCGGGAGACTTGTGAGGGCCGGTGAGCAACTAGCGAGGGATATAGATAGGAGGTTACAGAGCTTTCTGTCTGGTCCAGTCTTAGCCTAGAGCTCAACACGCTCAAAACAGTGCTCAAACCAAATCCTGGGCACCGCCACCCCCCAGGATACTCACATTGACTCCATTGACAATAAGACCCAGCAGAGTTTGTAATTTTTCCTCCAGCAGTGGGAGTTCACCAAAAAAATAAATAATGTTTCAATTGGTGATTCCTGTTAAATGGTTGTAAATAATTTGTTTGGCCTAATTAAAAAAAAAAAAAGAAATCAAGTTGAACATTACTAAATTTAATTTGTTTAAATTCAACACTTATAAATTGTTTATAAGTCTTGAAGTCCTTTGGACTTCAGTAAGTCTGGTTCAGCTCAGCTACCAAATATGACCTTCGAAGGCTACGTCAGATAGTTCTGACTGCTGAGCGAATCACTGGTATGACCCTCCCTATTCTCTGAGAACTATACTTATACAGATTGAGCAAACGGGCTGGCAAAATCACCCTGACCCCCTCACATCCACACTTAAAAATATGTGTGCTGTTTGTTCAAACTACTAGTTTAAAATTAGGTAAAACAACACAATTATTAAGTTTTTTTGTGACAATTTAATTGTTTTATGTTCAATACACTTAAATTTGTAAGAATTAATAAGTTAACTTAATTCCTTTAAGTTGTCCTAACACAAATAGATTTTATGAAACCCAACATTTTTTTTTTTTTTTTACAGTGCAGCAAACTCTAGATCTCGATGACTCTAGTGCTACTCTAATGCTCTAGCCCAGTGATCCCCAACATTTTTATCACCGCGGACTGGTCAACGCTTGACAATTTTACCGCTTACAGGGTTGGGCGGTGGTTCGTAGGTTGTTAGGCAACCATTAACCGTTTTCTCAGAGGATGACAAGTTGACAAAACATTGCTGTCACTCTCATACAGGTTTTATGTATGGAGAAATTTACATAATACATAATTACATTATAACTACATTATAAGCACTGGGTAATTAATCGACCGAAATGAGTATATTCCATACAAGCTGAAGCTGATCAGTCAGTTCTTGTTACGTGACTTGCGGTGCACTCCTGGAATTTATTCAACTGCGTGCATCTGGAAGGCGCGAATGTGTCACGCCGCTTGAGTGCGCAATTCCATTGAATAAATGGAATTATTTCCATTGGAAATAATGAACTTGCACAAACTCTAGAAAAGACGGGTTTGTGGATGGCCACCAAGAGACTGTCGTCATTTGCGATCTCCAGCAGTTGATCTTTTTGCACAGACATGGTGGATTCGCCTGATCGGATTGAGGATCGGGAAAGGTCCATGAGCTGGAATTCGAGCTCGGGATGCCCCAAACTATGTTGCAAAATATGTCGGCGCACTAACCACTGGGATATCATGCCAACTGTGTGTATTTTATTTGTTTATCCAAACAATTTAAGTCTTATTATTGTTTAGAGAATTGAAAAAAAGAATAAAAGTTTTTAAAAATGCTGTAAAATGTGATTCATTGCCACAATATTATGTGTAATAACAATATTACAGTATGTAAGCATCTGTTTGTGTTTTAAACAGTTTATTGTTGTTTTTCAGGGCTACTTCTTGCTGTTTGAGTCAATGCTGGACTCTGTGCTCTACGCCAGAGACCGCTACCTTGCAGACGATGGTTTAGGTAAGCCAAATGCACAAATTACAGCATTTTTTTACACTCCTATTCTGAGTTTGGAAGAATCTGAGAGGCCCTTGAACTGAGCTTCCAATTGGTTTTATACTTATGGAGCACAATGAGCCCGTTCTTTACAGTGGGCTTTTATTTTCATGGTCTATCAAGCAGACTTCATTTATTTTAATAGGGGGAGTTCATACAGAGCGAATCAGGGCTGTCCAGAGCAATGAAAGATGAGTCGGCGTGTGTGTTTGTTTCCTCTGCAGGGACATTACACAGGCATTATCATGAAAATATTGAACATCATCCCCTTTACCTTGACCATCAGCAATAAAATATGGAGCAGAGTTAGTGTGTTGGGATTCAGTGGTGCTGATATCTAATTGGCTTATTTAAAAATTTTCATATTTGATTGAACCATCCCTTTTACGGATAGCGCTCACTTTTGTATTTAAATAGTTTTTTGTAAATTTCAAGTGTTTTTAGATTTCATATGTTTTTGCTCCTTTAATGTTGTGTTTTTATTAGCTTTTCCCCCGCCACTGTCAATTAAGAGATAGGTCTTCCCTGCCATTGAAATTTTTTTTTACGATAATCAGGTTTTAGGCATATTATGAGGCCCTCCTAGCGCATATCCTAAAATTTAAATGCACTACTTAAAAAAAAAATTGTAAAAAAGAGATTTTTATTATTATTATTTTTTTTGTCAAAAAGGTTGCATTTTTTATTAAAATCTTCATTGGAGTGGTAATAAAACATGACAGATTTAAAAACAAAACAAAAAAGGTTAAAAAAAGTGGCTTGTTTTTTTTATCTTTACTTTAATATGTACATATATATTCTTGGCACAAAACTCTGTCAAGAGTTGAGGTCTGTCAAATTTAGGTGAAAATCGTCAAAAAAGCTGGCTTTTTTAAGGGAACACCCCTCTTATTTTTAATTTTACAACTCCCCTAGAGTTATACAGTTCAGTTTTATTAAAAAAAAAAATCCAGCCCATTCAATCCATTTTGCCAATTTCTTGTTCTGGCTGGAGCATTTTTAGCTTAGCTTAGCATAGATCATTGAATCGTATTAGACCAATAGCATCCCACTCGGAAAAAAAAGTTTTGATAATTTTCCTATGTAAGCTTATCACTACAGATAAAATTTTTTGTACCAGTCTGACCGCTCTCGCTGTATGTTCAGTCTTTGTTCACTTGCTGCCCAACCCGCCTCGTTTTCTACCCGACCCGACTGTTCCCGCTAAATTTAGTTCTCACTTTAAAATTGGGTACGACCGAAAGAGAAAGATAAGATAAGGATTGTAGACTAAATGTCTGTTTTGTTTACCTCTTTGTGTTGAGAAATGAGTGCCGCCGTAAACAGTGACGGACGTGCAGTGAGGTTTGTGGCTGGTGAGGCTCTTTCAAGTCAGATTTACAAAAATATCAACTCAATATATTTTCCAACTTCCGATTTTGTTCAATATATAATATCAGCATTATTTCTATACACATGGCAGGTACATATTGGGCGATTGAGTGTAGCGATTGAATATGCCTCCCAAAAAGCACCCAGCTGGATGCTACAGACTCCAGACAGCCTATAAGAAATGACACAAAGCACCACGGTGGATGCGCGCACACACATAGACACACTCTCTCTCTCTCTCTCTCTCTCTCTCTATCTCTCTCTCTCTCTCTCTCTCTCAGGAGTGTTAGACCGCTCCCGTTTAAATTACACGAGAGTTACCAACCGCAACAGCGTTTTATTCGGAAATTTATTCGCACACTGCAAGAAATCTGGTTGGGTCCCGCAGCTTCCACAGGAATGCAGACCTCTACTCAAAACTTCTATATTGACGTTGTGTTCCAAGACTAACATAAAATGAAAAGTTACTATAGTGGCTAAAATGGCTAACTGTACACATTCTGGGTTATTTATCAAAGAATTTTGCAGCCAATAATAATATTATATAGTATCTGAAAATATTCTCAACCTAAGTAACTAGGTAACAGTGGTGCATAGTATTATTGTGCCGGCTGCAGCCATGGTAGAGCAGCAAAGTTCCTTGATTAACACTCCAGAATTATTTATTTATTTATTTTTTAGCAAGATGCTAACGATCTGATTGTGAATGTGAATGTGAATGTGAATTAACGATGTATGCTAAGCTAAGCTAAAAGTGCTCCCATTAGATTTGAAGATTAAAAAAGGTAGAATTAAACTGTTTAACTCTAGGATACTAGTAACATAAGTTTTTTTTTTTTATTATTTTATTATTATATAATTTTTTTTATTAAGTTTTTCAAAAAAGTCTGAAAAAAAAACTCACTCTACTGGTAGCCCTATATAAAGGAAAGGTTTTACAAACATCATAAACGTACTTTAACAACAAATTATTTGTGTTTAACAGTATTCAGGACATAATGTAAACTGTAAACATCATTAATTAAACGTGTCAAGACTAATTTCTTTGAAGCAAAACTGAAAGTCACAGCAAGTGCGAAATGCGTTATCTAATTCAGCACCTGTTTTTACACCTGTTTACTTTGATAATTGCATTATATAGGTCCAGTTAGAATGCAAGTCACAGCATATTTCAGATGAAAAAAAAAAACTGCTACTCATATTGCAGAAAAGAGAAGTAATGCAATAGACTTTACAGTGTATATGGACGTGATCCCCAAGGATGTAGAATTAGCATGGACGGACTTGACATGTCCCCAGCAATCCCCAATTTCAATAACTTAATTCCCTCCAAAAAATAAAATAATGCTCTGTTAACTCTCAATAACCTAGACGTGGAGAAAGTGTTAAATCATGTTCTCTACTCAAGTCCTACCTCCATCAAACACATATGGACCGTGTGATGGGCTGTACGTGCCTTTTTTGGATGTTAGAAGTGCCAAAACTGCAAGAAAATTTTCCAGTTTTATACATGGCTTAGGGGCCGTCCACACAGAATGCATTTTTCCTCCTCAATTGTAATGGAATAATGTGCACTTTTTGTAAAGCTGCTTTGAATCAGTAGTTGTTGTGAAAAACACTGTACAGCTAAACTTGAATTGAATTGTTTGTTCTTGTTTTTTACTGTATTTAGTTTTAATTAAAAGTTTGTGCCATAAACAAAGCTGGCATGTTATATATGGTAATATATACACTTTATTAGGTACACCTGTCCAACTGCTTGGAACACAACCAACTCTAGGGTTCTCTATACAGAGAATGGTCCAAAAAAGAGAAAATATCAAGTGAGTGGCAGTTCTGGTGGTGCAAATGCCTTGTTGACGTCAGAGGAGAATGGCCAGACTGGTTCGAGCTGATAGAAAGGCAACAGTAACTCAAATAACCACTTGTTATAACTGAGGTATGCAGAAGAGCATCTCTGAACGCACAACACGTCCAACCTTGAGGCAAGTGGGCTACAGCAACAGAAGACCACACTGGTCACTGCCACTCCTGTCAGCAAAGAACAGAAAACTGAGGCTACAATTCACTCAGGCTCACCAAAGTTTGACAATAGAAGATTGGAAAAGCGTTGCCTGATCTGATGAGTTTCGATTTCTGCTGCAATATTCAGATGGTAGGGTCAGAATTTGGTGTCAACAGCATAAAAGCATGGATTCATCCTGCCTTGTATCAACGGTTCAGGCTGGTGGTGGTGTTGTAATGGTATGGTGGATATTGTCTTGGTACACTTTGGGCCCATTAGTACCAATTGAGCATCTTGTCAACACCACAGCCTACCTGAGTATTGTTGCTGACCATGTCCATCCCATTACGACCACATTACCACATTACGACCAGTGTACCCATCTTCTGATGGCTAATTCCAGCAGGATAACGCACCATGCCATAAAGCATGAAATTATCTCAGACTGGTTTCTTGAACATGACAATGGTCTCCACAGTCAGCAGATCTCAATCCAGTAGAGCACCTTTGGGATGTGGTGGAATGGGGGAATTACATCATGGATGTGCAGCCGACAGGTCTGCATCAACTGCATAATACTATCATGTCAATATTGATTCAATTGCAATTGATTTTATCTAGGGCAACAACACTGTGATTAGTGTAATTAATCAGTTTAGTCCTCTTTTTTTGTTTGTGAAAGTCCTGCCGCCATAACCATTCATTACGCTGCAGTATTTTGTAGAATCACCTTTCACACTTGTGTAGTTTACAGCATAATGCACCTCCTGTTTTCCAGGTGTTTTCTCTTATCTCAGCCCCTGCACGCTGCTCTGCCTTTTACTACATATTGATTTGCGTCAATAAAACATAAATTAAAGCAGCTGCTGAATAACTAAACAGTCCTTGGACGCTCACCTTCTAACAAACATGTTTTTCTTTCATTGTTGGGGAAACTGAAGTTGTAATGTTAGACACGCCATGGCTCTGCGTCATTTTCTTGTCCACTGTGGAGGATTGGGTTGAACAGATGCTGTGGTGTTTCAGGATGTACGCAGCACTGTGCACTCGCTGACTGGATGAATTATAACTTCAGGCATCCTGACACAGGAGATGTTACACTCTCCTGATCTTAATGGCATTGTGGGACTGGGGATGGGATTTGGAATAGGTTTAACGGTTCTAGTTATGATTCTGGTCCTGGTTAATGACTTCGGTCTCTCTTTATGTGGCATTAGCCATTATTTCTGTAGTTTTCAAAGAGCTCCAGATAGTTTATCCTAATTTATCAGAGTAGTTTTCTATTTAAATAGATCTTAAAATGTAACTATATTTCTGTGGTTCACAGGTGGATTTTTAGCATCATTACTTTTAATAGCTATATTTCCATTAACTTTTATTTATGCGCATCTTGGAAATGCGCATAAAAACCTGTTGATGGAAACGGCAAGATGTGCATATATTTTGATAATGCGCATAAAAAACATGTGCGCATAACTGAGTAGGATAAACTTTTTATTCAATATGAAAAGATGCGCATAAACTGCGATGTAAACACTTATGCGCATTAAAAAAAGGTCATGTGATTTTGTTATAAGAGATAATGTAA